GACTAACGTATTCTAAATAGATATGAGCAAGATGGTGCTACTCATGTCTAACATATACATATTGTTGTTCGAAACCATTTGCAATAGTCAAATAAATTTTCATCTATTTTTTCTTGTTGATTGACTGATCAAAACTAATTAGTTTCTAGTAATCACAATTGATCTCCTTTTCTTAGAAACATCTCTGATTATCATTTATTAGTCGGCATTATTCATAATTTCAACCGAACAATTGAAACTGTTGCTCGTCGTTCTGATTGATTTTAATTTAGAATAGTTCATCAAAATATTAGTTCTTTTTCTTGCAGAATCTCAAGTGGCAAAACCTTCAATATTATCGAAAGAAACTAGTAGATCACTAGTTGAATAAGAGTCAAACCACATAGAAAAACAATTACAGAAAACCAATGTTATTTTTTCCATCTTAATAATATTTATGGAAATGAATATTCTTTTGTTTGCTTATCAACCTGTTATTCAAGAGCAAAAACGATTAGCGATATTTTTGTTAGATGATAAAAGGGGTTCATTACACCAGTGTTTTAGGAGGAGGAATGTTTCTTTCTTAAGGTATAAAGTTTTTAATAAAAGGAATAAAATTATATGAATTCTGGAAATTCACTTGATTCGCTTGATGCACTTGATTCACTAGATACAACACCTTGCTGATCTGAAGAAGAATTTACAGATATAAAAATTAAAAAAAGTATTTAACAAATAACAGAAGATACTTACGACGAAGACGAGTCAAAACGTCAGCCAACAAATGCATTAAATTTGACTCTAGCAATATCATAATTCTTATATGTACAATTAATTAAAAAACGAAACTTACCATAATTTTTCTGTCGTGCCCTGTAAGCAGGAAAGTTGCAACCAAAGCTTTTCGCATCAGGTTCTTCACTACTGCTACCTCCTTTCGACCCATTCTTCTTGTTATGTTTTGATGATAATGATGGTCCGATCTTCTTAGGTGATGCTTCATGGTCCTCAGAGGATTCTTTGCCTTTCTTAATGGCCGGTCTCTTGTAAATTATACGTTCCCCTGATTCACCTTTTTCTTCCTTTAACTCGACTTTTCCTGATGGTTCATTGTGCTTACCTGATTCTTTGCCTTTCTTAACCGGCCCTTTCTTGGACTTAGAGCGTTCAGCTGGTTTACCTTTGTGTCCACCTGATTTGGGGTGTGATGATGCTTCTTTGTGCTCACCTTGTTCTGCGCCTTCTTCTACTGATGCTCCCTTGTACACTTTATGTTTCACTAACGGAGCTTCTCCTTCACTTGGTTTTGCTTCTGTTGGTCCTTCTTTGTGCTCACCTTGTTCTGCGCTTTTCTTTACTAGTGCTTCATTCAATGGTGCATTTCCGGCTGGTTGAGCTTCTCCTTCACTTGGTTTTGCTTCTGTTGGTCCTTCTTTGTGCTCACCTTGTTTTGCACCTTCTTCTACTGATGCTCCCTTGTACACTTTTTTTTTTCACTAACGGAGCTTCTCCTTCACTTAGCTTTGCTTCTGTTGGTCCTTCTTTGTGCTCACCGGGTTCTGCGCCTTCTTCTACTGATGCTCCCTTGTACACTTTTTTTTTCACTAACGGAGCTTCTCCTTCACTTGGTTTTGCTTCTGTTGGTCCTTCTTTGTGCTCACCGGGTTCTGCGCCTTCAATTACTGGTTCTCCCTTGAGCAGTGTATATTTCACTGGCTGAGCTTCTCCTTCAATTGGTTTTGGTTCTGTTGATCCGTCTTTGTGCTCACCTTGTTCTGCGCCTTCTCCTACTGGCGCTCCCCTATACATTTTATGTTTCACTAGTGGAGTTTCTCCTTCACTTGGTTTTGCTTCTGTTGGTTCTTCTTTGTGCTCACCGGGTTCTGGGCCTCTTTTTACTAGTACTTCATCCGACGGTGGATTTCCAGCTGGCTGAGCTTCAACTTCACTTGGTTTTGCTTCTGTTGGTCCTTCTTTGTGCTCAACGAG